GTTATAGATTTCTGTGGCCTCGCAGTCACTTTTTCATTGCTATAGTTACAACACCATTCAAATGCGATAATGTTGAGGGTATTTTAAATGGTCGTTGGTATAGCAAACCTAATTTTGTTGGCTCGTCGTCAAAGCAGAGCCACTTTTGTTTGAGTGTGCTAAATTCATGAAAGTTAGGTGCCACGCCCTTTTATGTACAATGACATTATTCATAAAAAATAAGGACTTTGCCGGATTTGAGGGTCGTTAAAGGTCCATATTAATGAGTAACAAATTTTAGAATGAGTAGCATTGCTCAGCCTCACTAAATCTAAATCATGCCCCCATTTTTACGGCAAATTATACAGCTATGTTGCAAAATGTTCTGACTTTAATTTGCAATCCCCCCCCCCAACTTTCCAACTTGTGTCAGATCCCCTGTAAGAGATACGGGGTCTACCACGTCATATTACGAAATACCACTTCTAAAGTATCATGTTTTGAACGAGTTTGAATCGTTTATTAGAACTGAGATTTGTTATCAAATAATCAAGGCAAACTAGTCGGGTTTTCATTTTACTTCGTCTATGTTTGCATTCTAAGTATATTTGACTTTTTTAAAATGACAATTTAACAATTTAATATTCATAACTTATATTTCTTAAGCAGCATTGATGACAAAATATGTTTGAAAACCTAAACTAGAGTGTATCTTAGTAAAGCAATGTTTTTAGAGAATGTAGATGTCGAAAGCCATACTGGGATGTAGCTATGGCTTGTTACCCTGGGTACAAGAGCCTCAAAAAACTTGTAATAAAGTTTCGGAACTATATTTCTGTGACTAAATTATGGATACTCTGGCACCCAGGGTAATGGCTTGTATTCTGCGGCCCAATAGCCTCTTCTAATATTATAATTGTTATTAATTTGCTTCTAGATGTTTGTTGCTCCGAAAAATATTCGATATAATAGGATCACTTATATTGTTGTGCTAATTTACAGGGGTTCAACTGTGCTACAATATCATTGTTTTACCTCTTCTTTCTGTCTTGGAACTCGTTAATAGCATGTTCCATATGTTAAGAGAAACCCAAGGCCTCTTTGCATGTTTTTCATCCTTTTTGTGGCCCATACTTAAGATATTTCAGACAACATCATATCTCTAGTCTTTATTCTTGTGTGACTACCTCGCTACTGAGCCCATACATTTATTAAAAGTTTCCAGAAAAAGAAAATGGAAGAAATAACTTCCCGAAGATACTCAACAAGACACTTTCAAAGAAACTTTGTCATTATCTTTTGGTAGTCCGTTTCTGAGTTGGAAATATTACCAGATTTCTTAATCACATATCTTTCTCGTTAAGCTGTAGCCACGTATCGTATTTATTTTTTATCAGTATTTTATGTCCATTTATGTTGTTGTTGGAAAAATGAAATGATAACCATGATCAAAGAAACATAGAGTTTTTGTTTTGCCCTGACACCTCCTTGAAAAGTGATTCGACTTGCACCTCTAGTCATTTCTGTTTTGGGAGCAGGAATTGAACATTTGATGATTTTGAAATACTTTCCTATGTTACTTTTGAAATATGAGACAATGGTAAGAGATCATCATAAAATAATGACATCCTCCCTTTTAAGGCCTTGTTTCTTACAGATTTCTATTTGAGAGTGCGATTCTGTTAGCTGTTAACAGATGAAATGTAGAAATTTAAAAAATTTGGATGATTTGGCTGTATCGGTCATATCCTATGAAACAGGAAAGGGTCTAGGACAATCCTTTGAGGAACTTATACGTAGAAGCGTAGAAACCATATAGTATTTGTAGATTATTACAACCTGTCACGTGACTGAATGATTGCTGACGTGATGTATAATAACCTATTCTTGGATACGTATAGCAATGCGTTATATATATACCATACGGATTTTGAAACGACGCCAATTTCGAAACATTATATATCTAGAATCGTTTGCATACGTATCTAACTGACCTGTCTGAACATATCCCGCATGGATAACACAACATCTTAGCTTGATATAATATATTTTGCGCAGTGGAGGGGTCAGTCGAGTCGTTCATCAAGACCCGTTGCACTAGACTCGAAATTTAGAGCGAGCATTCTTATGCCATAGTGGTATTATTTTACTGCAAGAGTTGACACAGCAAGATTTATCAGAAGCAGAGAAGAGTGAGCAAGTGTATCAATAGGGATAAAAAGACGTGGTCACATCGAGGGGAAGGACCAGGATTCTGCTCGATAAGAAAATCATTTATAGTGGTAAACTAATTTTTTTTGCGAAAAAGACATCAAATCAGCCTTCTATATCAATTATATTGTCATCGTCATCAATTATTTATTCTAAAATGTCTTCTTGGGCCATGTCGCCTTTACCCTGGGTACCAGACTCACTATATAAAATAATAGAGAGTCTGGTCTAGTGCGCCCCATTCTCGTTCTGGTGAACTTACTTGAAAGAACTGAAGTCTATTTAACAGACTAGGCCTGTGAAACAAGACTGTCAGATAAATAACAAAGAAACTCAGTAGTCAGAGGAGTTTTGGGAAATCTTAAAGCAAATGTGTTTTATTAAGTTCTTTAAAGTCGACATTTTTAATACAGTGGTAATAGACTTTTCTGCCTCAAGATAACAATGAAATCAGGTTTAAAACGCCATTTGGCACCAAAAACATGTGCGACGCATGAAATTAAAGTTAGCACAATGCAGTTATTAAATGTTAATCATTATCAAATTTCGTATACAACTTAAAATAAGTCTTTTGTAAGTTTCCTCATAAATTGTGTGTACTTTCAAAGTCTACTTCCTCACTGTGAAGGCAGCGCGCTTGGACACTGCGGCGGTTAGAATCACCACATTGGAAGGTCACCACAGCAAATATGGCCAATACGACAAGCGAAGCCCCGTATGCCGGGCGAAATATTAGCTATAACTGATTTACTGTGTTTGTTGTTGTTTGTTCTCAGCGCCTTGCGGTGTTTTTTATCTACTGCATTTCACTACAAGGCCTAATTTCTTTGCAACGAGAGGCACAGCCTGAAATATCAGAGACTTTCCAAAGCCAGTTGGCAATATGGCGAAGGTGTCTCTTCTCTCTACAAACAAGGCTTTCAATGCTGTTCTGTGTTCAGTTCCACAACATGCGGAAAATATTCTTTGAGTACAGTTTTAACAACATCTTCAAACTCAATCGTTAAGTTGGCTAGCATTTATTTATGTTCTGTTCTGTTCAATGTTTTACACCAGAGCTAAGTTTATTGTTTCGCTCTGACCTTTGAACGTACAGAAATCTGTACACTCGCTCCTGATTGGTTAATATCTGCACACCAGAACGAGAATGGGGCGCACTAGGCCAGACTCTCTATTTTATTTCATATATAGTGAGTCTGGTACCCAGGGTATGTCGCCTTCTGAAATCGAGCATTCGAAAAGGTCGAGTTCATCCCTCGGAGTACCAATGGCCTGTAGTTTTGGCCCTCACATGGCCTCACATGGCCCGTGATTAATGCAAATTAAATCTTTGTCTTCGGATCTGTCGTGACTAGAAGAGACATGGTGTGAATTTTGATTTGATGCGAAGTATTGAACGACCAATGAATAAAATGAAAATCTCTGTATTTTGTGAAGTTTACTTATTTCAGCATCAGTGAAAATTTGGGGAGGAGGCTAAATTGAGAAGGGGGATAATTAAATTTTTCCTTCTGAAAAGGGGGGCTAATAAGAGACTTGAGGCTTAATTGAGAGGGGGGCTAAAAAGAGAATTTACGATACTGGAACACCCCAATCGGGCCACTACCCAAGTCGAAAATAGCATTTAGGGCATTTTTCGAGAGGGTCTGCAACCTACCGTTATAGCGTATCAAACTGTGCATTTCTACCAAGTTTCACGCTTCCATGACAATTTGCATAATTTTCTCACTAACAGTCGTGCCTTTTTTTGCGAATCGACCTTTGAGTTTTTATCAAGATGCGTGATCACTCTTGATAGCCTGAAATAAAGACACATTCAGTTATTGCACAGAACGTAATCATTGTGATTGATTTAACTGAGGTCTGTTAGAAGACGGTACCGAAAAGTTTTTAAAATCAGTTCCCAATACAAGAAGGCATGCAAACAAGTTGGCTAGGTGCATATGCAAACGATTCTAGATATATAATGTTTCGAAATCGGCGAAGATAGCTCTCGGTTTCGAAATCCGTATGGTATAAATAATGCGTTGCTATATGTATCCAGGAATCCAAGAATAGGTTGTGATCCATCATTACGGCAATAATCCAATCCAAACTCTCCCCTGTTCAAAACCATACCTTCTGGGCCACGTGATCTCCTGCGGCTTCCTGCGCAGTGAACTGCGAGGCTGGCTGCAATGGAATGTTTATGATTCAATCAGGAATTACTATGTTATGGCGGCCAATTAACAGTGTATCACTGGCAACGGATCGAGCAGGTATCTGCTTTGAACAGTTGATGACAAATGAATAATAAATATTGCATGATAATTTAACACGCTGAATTTACTGCGGCTTCGAGATGTCGAACTTATACCAGTCAACTACAGAATCCTTAGAGTCGTTAAATAACTGGCCTACTTGTGCACCTCCCCTGCCTTGTAAAAAGCGAAGAGGTATGGACAACCGAGGGGCAGGGACAAAAAGTGATGTCGAGCTTGGTGAGGTTTCGACAAGACAGAAAAGAGACAGAGATGGAGATGAAAGCAAAGAAAGTCGCAAGTATGCATTCGTTAACTCTTTTTTCGCTTGCTTATCCGTTTCCTAGGTTAACCCCCATATTCTCCTAACCTTGCTACAGAGTGCCTGCTTGATATTGCTTAAATAATGCGTTGCTATATGCTTGATATGATTGCTTAACATAACCACTCATATAAAAACAGATCGATACAAAGTTCTAGCGTTGTTGGCCTCTAGAATTAATCAAAGAGAAACTAAAAGTAAATTAAGGGTGTTGTCTGTTGCAATTAAAGAGCAGTGTGGCAAAATTAATTATGGATTAGGTTCAGTCTGTTACATGCCTGTGTGTCAATCAAGTAAAGCACCTTTCTGGCAAGAGAAATTTTCAAGCATAAAAAGACTCTTTATCATGAGTTTTGTTGACATTTTTTTAATGTTAATGATTTTATATATGTTATAATGTTTGAGTTCTTGTCTATGTGATTCAGCATTCAAAATTTCTAAGAAACACTTACTTTAAAGGAATACTTGCCCTTGTAATTGAACATGACCAAATGCAAACTTAAAGTTTGTTCAGGACTTTTAAAAAAATTTACTTTTTTCATTAGTTTCTGAACATCAATTTTAATTTTTATGTTAAAAGCAATTGGAGAGCACCTCAGATTTGAAATAAATTGGTCCCACTGATGCAGCACAGTCAAACCATTTGATTGGTGCAGTCCTTGCATTCTGAATTTTCTAGACATCAACTGTGCTCATATGTGTCCAGTGAAACAGTCTATTATTATCTGACTTTGTAACCCTAACTATGTAGCTATAGAATTGATTAATCCTTTTAGGTCATACCAGTACAGCTACAGCTGAAGTCCTATAATTGCAACCTTTCAGTTTTGTCAATCTGGTAACCACTATGGTGATGTTTGTCACAAATTCTAAAAACCATAAGGTATCCAGCACCCACGTATTTTGCCATTAGGAAAACCATATACAGCTAGGTTACATCAAAGATTTAAGAACCCACAATAGTTACTGCATCTCAGGATCAGGCAGTAAAATCCATCTCTATACTTGACACTCTAGTGGCAGAATCTTTAGCCTTTTGAGCCATTTATGCGCAAAATTATAATCTACTTTGATCATATACTTTGTTTTAGACTTGTATCACTATCTTGTGTGCCTACACAACAAAGACCAAATGACCCAAGGAAGACATCAAGTGATTCGGTGGCACCACCAAATATTACCGGCAGTCAAGAAAGCTTACCTAGTGGACCCTCAAAAAAGAGAATGAGCAGAGCAAGATCTGTCAGAAAGTAAGTTTAAACAATTTTATCATAGACATTCTGTTGCAATCTACATTAACATGCATGTCAATCTTTTAAGGATTTACAAGTTCATCTAATTTTTTCCTGCAAAAAGTGAAAATATGGTTTTGTAAATTAAGTTGAACCCTCGTATAATGAAGGGGGAGTAACCCAGCAATTTAGTCTAGGATCAACCGTCAGCTAATATTCTCTACCAAGAGTATCATATCCTACTTACATATTCCTTGTTGATAAGATTTTTTTGACATGTACAGTTTATGTTTTGCATTTAACTTGAACATTGACAACAAATGTTGTGAGATCACTAAACAGGCTACAAATAGATGTGAGTGCTAAAGTTTCTTTGTGCTTTCTACTGCATTAGGAAAATAAATCAGCACCATTCTTATGTCTCTTAGAAACATGTTCAGGACCGTCGAGACGGGGGGGTAACCGGGGTAGTTACCAGGGGGCCCGGGGCCTTGAGGGGCCCGTAGAAAATAAGGTATGTATTTTTGGCTATGAGTTTTCAATTAGCAGCATTGGCAGGGCGGGCCCATGACCCGATTGATATTCGAAATTCATTCTTTCAACAAGGGATCAACAAGCTGGTCTATGATGAGGACCTTTTTTGTTAAGGTTATAATTAAAACATTGACGATACGATCACAATATACTTCTCCGAAAGCCATAAAATTCGATTGCACTTACATATATCTACTTTTAGGTCAAATGTTTTAGTTATTCCTTGTGTGGACTTCCTATAAACGTAAAACTAAATCTTCCATTCACGGCGTACACCAGAGAAAAAGCACATGCGAAGAACCAAGACAAATCCAAACGCTATAAAAGTCTTTATCAAAATCACTAAGCGGGATCACGATCCAACCAACCCCTGCGATGTCATCTTACAGGCACAAGTCTGGTGCTCAGAAAAGGCAGGAAAAAGATGCGAGAAAAAGAAGCAAAGAAAGCCTCTCGCACATTGTTTGAGGTAGGTGCTTACAAAAGAGACAAGGAAGGTGATTCAACTTTAAATAAACCTGGTGAAAGCTCTGTTCAAAGCACCGCTGAAGAAGAAGAAGACACAAACGGCTTGGCTGCTTCGGTAGACCATGACACCCCAGAAAGTAGAGAAAGCACTACTGATCCGTCATTAAATCAAGATACTGTCCATAGTGGATCATCTAGTTTTGATATCGGCACATTGACCGGATTTCCAACGATAAAGGAGTTAGAAAAGGTTGTTAGAACTGGTCATTTGCCTCATCCTCCAGAGTTTCCCAAAGATTGCGACGGCCACAAATTTCCAACAACGGTCCTTAATGTAAAGCAGCAAAATTGGGAGGTAGTAAGAAGAAGCTGGCTTGTTTTCAGTCCTACAAAGGCTGCACTCTATTGTTTGCCAAGCACACTATTAATAATAGTTCAAAATCAAAATTGGCTTCTCCTGATGGTTGGGGAGCGAACGACAGCTGGAAACGATTGTGGGAAAAGATTAAGGATTTCGCCATGAGGAAAGCAAGAAAAGCAGTTTTTTAAACATTAAATTAACTCTGATTTTTAAGCTGATTTGTTTTAATGATTTGTTTTATATAGTCACTAATTACATGTTCTGTTAAAGACCTTAAAATACAAATTCAAGTGTTTCAGTGGCGTTGATTTCAAAATTCATGCCTTTTACAGTCCATCTAACTGCATTTCTAAGGGCGTAATCCAAAAAAGGTTTTTGCAGCCTTCGACTGTGGGGCCCCATGACAGTCCCAGCCCTGGGGCCCGGCCCGTCTGTCGACGGCCCTGAACATGTTGGATTTGTTTTATTGGATTTGATGAATTTGTTATCAATGAGTAAAGCCTTGTCCGCATGCTTGACATTTCAGGAGTATTGCAAAGAATACACTAGTATTTTTTGGACTGGATTTAGAACAAGAACTTCAAAGACAGAAATGGCAAGAACGAAGGATTCGCCATTGTAGCAAACGATATGGGAAGATGAAAGATGATTTGATTGATTTTGAATGTGACGATGAAGTGACAGACACAGGCACGCCAAGGAGAAGTATTGTTAGTATGGGACCAATGATGAAATCAAGACTAAGCAAACGAGAATCCGTCCCAAGTATGGTCTTTAATGGATTGAAAAGGAGGCTAAGTACAAAGGTATAATGCACTTTTCACAATAAAAAAAATGGTTATATCATATTGAAGTGTTTAAAAATAGTTGATTGAGAACGTTCTGTGAAGGTTTAACCATTTTTGATTCAGTGTTGTGTGTATTTCCGCCAATGCTTTAGCTTTTGTTTCTATATCAGCCCTTTTTAGAAGACTATTTAAGAGCTTCTTAAAACAGCAGTTACATTGCAACTTATTCAGGGCCATCACTAGGTATTGTGCTCCAGGGGGTTTTTCTAGGTCGTATTTGCTGACAAAGATGCTGAACCAACATTTATTTGCTGGCAATTTTTAAATTTGCTAACTAAGCACCTCTAGATGTCCGAAAAATTCCTTGTATTGCAAGAAATTTTTTTAAAAGATTGTAACCTCCAATTCCCGTATAGTGAAGGCCCAGCTCCTTTTGCAGATCTATTAGGAAATTGAGATTTTAGTCTTTTCACTGTTAAACAGCAATGTTGGTGAATTTACAATTATGGCTATGAGCACTTCTCCAATAAGGATTATGCCATATTGAATTTGAGTTACATGTTGTCCTAGTGCTTCACTTCTTCTCCTATCTTAAGAGTGAGCCTTTGTATTGTTTTAAGCATTAGAATGTTTTGTCATTGATGTATCGCTCCTTGTTTTATCAGCCAAACGATCGTACTCATGACGTCTTCAGTGGACGCAGTTTTGCACCTAAAGATCTAGCCACAGTTGAAGGAGATGATGTTGACTTTGACGTGACTTCCCCAATGTCACAAGACTTGCGTGATAGTGTTTTCTTCGACTTCCATCACGAAATTCACGACGTTATCCAAGAGGAGCCAGAGGTCCTTCAAGATGAACTCCCTGCTCCTCCCGAAATACCAGAAAGAGCAGCGTCACCCGCTTTGTAAGTTGGTTATGAACTGCCTCTTAGTTTTCTTAACATTTTGAATGACTGAAAGATTAAGCTATATAAGGATCGGTGATTTAGATTGATTGTGTTTGTGGATCTTCAGAGCTCACTTGGAAGCTGCCAAGTATATAATTTGGATTACGTTTAGGTAATATAATGTGGGGATCGAATGATACCATCAGCAGATCCTTAGGAGGTATTTCTAAGATCTATATGCATTTATTGTAGGGATTTTTTAAACTATGGAAGGGAAGAGTCTTCGACCATCCTCCTTTACAGACCTTACCTTCTTTCTAAATAATGGTCAATCAAGTTGTACTGCTCAAGTTTACCATTTCTTTTATTTTTTCTTTATACAGGCTTTTCTTAATGCTTTCTATCATTGCTATGATCTTATCAACAGAGGAGCTGGGTGGAAGCGACAGCAGAAGGAAAAAGCAACAGAGAGAGATAAGGAAATAGTCGCAAAGCAGTTGGGAATCAAAGCAGTGCAGACTCACGTGATCAGGACGCCAAGTGAACGGAGACACCGCATGCAGCATAGGCCAGTTATTAAGAAGAAACCAAAGAAGGCGACACGGCGTTTTGGGCTTGGGTTGGCAGGAAGATGGTTGATAGAAAGTTGAAGAAGAGCAGATTGTCAAGTACAGTTGCGAAGCAGCTTGAAGAAATTTCTGATCACAGGTTAGCTTTATCAATTTATTAGTTGGTCAGTTGTAGTAAAGCTTTTAAAAATATATTTCCTTGTATGATTATGTTTTGTTGTATGTTTGTTATAACTAAGTGCAGTTAATTAAATTCATATGTATACGAAAAACCGTGGCTCTACAGAGAGTATATTGCCTAAAGCAGAAGATTTATATGTTTTGTTTGCCTGGCACTCTTTGTAGTATTAAACGTCGTGACTGATAAAAAGTTTACAATGTCTATATATATACTCGCTTCCCAAACTTTCGTTTATCTAAGTTTAAAAGGGCTATCGCTATTTGTGTTACCTATTTTAAACCGAAATCGTAATTTTTTGGTTACCAATCGTTTGCTTCATAAATTTCGAGAACCTGTGGTTTAAATATGGTTTACTTTGATTTTTTAGGCCATTTTTCACTTACTGGGTCTCATTTTTACAAGTTGTGATCTTGATAGTAATGGTGTCAGTATATAGTTTTGCTCCAGTGGGTACTTCAAAGAAAACAGTTCAAGAAAAGGTTTGTATTTCGAAATTACTATTTTGGCCAAATCTGTTCTTCTAATGGCCAAAAATATTTGTAGCTGTAGAGCTACTGCTATTTATGAAATTTGCTATTAGTTCAAAAATTTCTCGTCCGTCACTTTTTTCTACTGAAATCTTAGCAGGTGGACCTCCTCCTACTCCTACTTGAACCCTAATAAGTGTTATACAATGTTTAGGTGTTTGTTGAGAAAATGTCCAGTTAGGTAGGCAAATAACCTAAAGATATTAGTTAAAGGACAAGTGACACACTTTTCACCTGATCTTTTCTTTTTTCTTTTCATTAACTTATAGATCATCATTTAGAAATAAGTTTTTCCTGGTTTAGAACAAAAAATTCTAATCAGGGGGCGCAGTGGGTGCAATTTTCCTTTTTATCACGTGACCCTATGACGTACATTTCGATAACTCAGAATTTTCCTGCCATTAGTAGAGAGTTTACGAAACACGACACAACAGGTCCAGACGAACTGAATTCGTTTAGAAGCGTGTTGTAAAAGTTAATATTGCACTGTATACAAGTAGCAGCAATAACAAATTATCACAATATACGTCAAGGTGTCACATGATTCATTTCCCGCCATAATTTGAAAAGGGTTTTTAAGTAGGAAAATGAAATCAGAAAGGAAAAATATTTCAACAACACTCTCATTCAGCATTTTACTTTAAGTTAAAAGAAGAAAAAAATTTGGCGCCAAAAGCGTGTCACTTGTCCTTTAAGTTAAATGCTTGTTTCTTCAGGTTGAATTTTATTTTCATCATTTTTCAGGTAACAGTGAGCAGAAATGGAAAAACGCAGGTCGAGGTTATAGCTAAATTGGTATTTGAGAATTTCTGGATTGGGCCTAGCCAGGAGGATTTGATTCGTTTGGGTGCCAAGTATGCCCCATGTATGAGACGAGACAAACTGTTGTTTAGAACTCTCGATGCAGAGAAAGTGATTGAGAACAGAACTGGCTGCTGCGTGCAAACGTATTACACGGGATGCATTCAGACTTTGAGGGAAGACTGCATGGTAAGTTGAATTGACGTTTTCAAATGGGGAGAAACAGTTCAATGATATTGATTTTTGGGTGCCGTTTCTAAGGGAATCTACGTACTCCATTGCGCTACTGCACGAGAAACTTTTCTCGTTAGGGTATACGAAGATACCATTCGTTGTTCGAAATATACAAAACATTTAAAAAGATCACATTTTGTTTTACTAACCGCACGTAGATAGCCCCGGGTAAATGCAATAATTAAAAGAAGGAGCCAGGTCACAGAACAGAGATTAGGCAGAGTGGTAACTATCGTTGGTCCCTCTCTTGTTTTTTATGCCTGAGTTCAACCTAAATTCACCCACTTTGGCGAACTGTGTTTTTTTCATTAGTAGAAAGTATTTCCGGGTTTTGTTTAGAAGCAATTCGAACAAAAGCATATTTTTGTCTATTTTGTATCTAGGTGCTCATAGACACCGTCAAAATCTTTAAAACCGCAGTTTCAACGACTGCGATATTGCTGCTCGTTGCATTTCTCTAGAGTCTTTTTCGCAAGGCCTAGCAAAATATTTAATAGACATCAGCTTGGTAAAAGAAGCCAAGAAAATGAGAAAATAGCAACTAGGATTATAGACAATTTCTTGTGTCCAAAAGTTGTATTTTTTTATTTTAGTCGAGGAACGCGGAGCATTTTATGGCGATTTTTTGTATGGTTTTTAGGTACATTTTAGAAATTATTAGGGGAGCTAAATCCCCCGTAGCCCCCTACGCTTTCTGCGTTCCTGACTAGTTGGTTGATGATAAGCTTATGATAAGGGTGAAACCGGTTGTAGCAACTTAAAACCGCCCTGTTATGCACACGAAAGTGTGTACTGCTTTGTATATACGGAATTGAGCACTGTGCAAAAGATCTGTTTACAACCATTTTCAATTTCTTCTTGTACTTTTTACTGTTTTCTTCGCATTCTGAAAGTTATAAAGAAAGCTTAAAAATGTTTTCTTTGCTTTTAATTTCATCAGACGTCATTTGCTAAATTCGTGGATTACAGCCCAAAGAGCAGATCAAAAGCAGTTTGTGGACAGGACCCCAAGTATGTATCATTTTTGCCCCGTATCACTTGTTAGCGTCCAGTTCTATCACCCTGTATTGAACCGCTTATCTGGGCTTATTATCTTTAATGAGCAAAGGCCTTGTAAGCGTAGTCCATCACACTTGGCCAAATCCAGACGGGTTTACTTGTGAAATGGATCCGAAAGTAGATCCATTTCATTTCGGCGCAGAAAGCATACGTATTCTATTTTCCAATTGTATTTGTATTCACGAGTTAGCGATCATGTCGTAAGATGTATTTATAGTATTTTTCAAAATATAGACCACATGAGCTGAACGAACACGGTGAAATATCAAGTATATTCCTGTGATATTTCCAATGAAAGATTTAAGTTTGATGGTATGGGCTACATGTCCAAAATCCGAAAACTCTGAATGTATGATCTGGTGACGTGATCAATCTGCTATTATTTTCGGATATTCATTAGATTCTGAATCATGTTTGTAAAGTGCACATGAAAAGGTGCCGTTGTTTCATTTTATTAATGGCGCATGACAATGGCTTAGCTTCGATGAGTATACGGAAGCATTTAATCTAATAATTAGTCATACTTTCACTTTAGCGAGCTCAATACTTTGATAAATTCAATAATTCAATGATCTTGGTCAGAGGAATTTTTAGACAGATTGTCGGTACAATCTATTCTATTTTGTTGTTTTTTTTGTTTTTTCTAGGATATGAATTTCATATAGCTACCCATTAGATATCGCAAACAGAAAGTCCTTTTATGTTTTGATTAAAATCTTTTTTACAGAGCTTGCACAAATCCTGCATCAGTTTCTCCGCATATTTGGTCGCCAAATGACATATCAAAATGGCCTGTGAGTAAGACAACATTTCATAATTTACACATGCATATAACATTTGAACGATCTGTCACCAATTAGTTACATTCAGTTGAGAAACTTGACTTGACTGGCATGTACATTTTTGATATAAGTATTGGCCTTGATTTGTATGTGCAAAGTTAAAGTGCATTATTCGTGCACAGCAAAAGTTCGCATAAAAAAGAAAGTTGGTCCATTTGACAACCAGCAGGCAAGCACCTTCTATATAAAAACCACTATGTAGAAGAGTTGGAGCAATTTCAGCCTGTTACAGAAATGGCAGGTTCTTTTATGCAAGTTTTTACGGTACCTACAATCCTTGCCAAAGAGCATCTGCACTGATCTTAATTTTGCCATGTTGTCAATAGCATACCCACCCTTCTGCCCCTCCAAACAATGTTTTTTAGTGTAAAGAATTTTGCTGTTTGCCGATTGTTTTCTGTTAGACAGTTATGTTGTTTAACTCTACTACCAGCCTTTTTTGGGGGGAGGGGTTACAGTGTCGGTCTTAGCTACTGTTAACTGTTAAATGTTTCAAATGAACACTTAAGCAGCGAGTTGTTCCAAGGTCTTTTTGAGGAGATTTTCTCCTTTCATTGCTATTGCCAATGCTCATCAATACGTTTTTATGGCGTTGACCTTCAATGGCCTGTGCAACAATTGCTCATATTTATTCCGGCCTTGCTTTTTACAGGTTTGCAAGCGAAACGTGAATTTGCAGACGCTGGATAAGCAAGACTACCCTCATCTCCGCTGCGAAATTACAGGCAGACCATGCTGTGTTGGCGCGCAAGCTAAGTGCTTGATAACGAGTAGTGAACACTGTAAATTTCTTGGTGGAAGATTCCATGCCCATGCAACCCTATGCTCACAGGTAATTTCAATGCTCTCATCTTTCAACACCTCTCTTTAATGCAATATACTTGACCTTGAAAATGTGCATTATAATCAAAACGTATACTTCACTTGGCAGTTTTTCTAGACTTTGCATAATTATTAACATTAAGAACTCTGTTTAAGACCACTTGCCTTAAATATTATATCCATTTTCTTATCATTCCTCTTCATAATAATCTTCTGAAGGATTTTTCTGAAATGTGATCCGCATACCCTTCGTTAGCAAATTTATAGGTAGCACAAAGGAATGGTCTACAGTGGAGGCATCGGAATGGACGATATAATTATTGTTTTAGATGAAACTATTTCTCGGACATCTGTAACTGATCCAAAATAAGAGAATGTTTGTTTACAGTTCCTCTAGACACAACTTTTCTTGCTAGGTTTTTTATGTTAACTGCATTATGCATCAAATTTATTGCTGTATTGCTGCTCACGCCATTCTGTTGTTACTTTTCTGCCAACAAAAAGAATGGCCTAAATGATTGTACAAAATCTTCCGAATCTAGCAATCTTACATCACGGAGTCGTAACATTTTAGCATACTTTTCAAAATATGAACTAAACTGATATTGTATAAAGTTAATCCCCCATCATAACTTTATTTGCTAAGAATTACTCTCCGCGTGCTATAGCATTTCATTTGCAAATTCCAGGTTGACTGCCTTAGTTCTGTGTGTGGACTTCTTCCGTTTCTGAAGCTTCAGACTCCTGATCAAGTGTATCGCCTGTGGCTTTCTCTTTTCCTTCATGCAGGGTAGGTTTTTTTTGTTTTTTTACAACCATGTATGCTCCAATTATTTTTTTTTGTAAATTGCTTTTCCAAATATCAATTGCTTTAGATCTCCATCTGCACGTTTTCATTGCAATTTTCTTGTTTGATCTTGGCCTAGATATCTTTCATCAACCGTAAAATTCCCATGAATTGGACATCTGTCTCTACAGAAAACTGTTAAATTCTTCATAACAACGCTTACCAACAGGGATCTCATTTGCTTTTCCAATACCCGCCAATAAGGTTATATAGGATTAACCTTCTACGGTCTGTTCAACGATCTTTTAATATGCTTGGGCCTCGAATCCTTCTAAGATCGTGTTCTGGATGTCTTTATGTAACAGAGAAATTCTCTCGAGGAAGACACCTGTGAGAGTTGAGTTACAGTCCGTCGCAGGGAGGGTACCATTTTCTTTAATCATAATGTTTGTCCGCAGGGTAAAATTATGGGAGAGAATCGTATGTTCGTTGTTTGGTGGTGCCTGTTATCCAAAGGCATCGGTTCTAGAGGATACTGCTCTAAGTGACAGTGTGGTTATAGAAAACCCCATATAGACCCGAGGTGCAAATTAGCAAAGAATGAACTATTGAATCCAAAAAACCCCCAAAATGGTTGACATAAAAATTAGGCTGTTTGGAAGGGTCACGAGGAAAATGCCCTCTGCCATAGAAATATGCTGTTTATTTGCCCTGCATTTCCTAATCGAAGTATAGACTTGAATTAACATATACTTTATTGTTAAAGGATTATCCATATCATCATCACACTAGTCTTCAACTTCACCATATTGCGGGATATTGAGAAAATGGCGGGCTGGGCGCGGATCGCCGTTATTTACTTGTCTGGAGGCATTGGCGGTAATCTTTGGAGCTCGGTCTTAACTCCATATCAAGTTGAGGTGAGCAAAAGCTTCATTGTCTGTCTTGAATCTTTGGTCAATTGGAATATCTCAACGTTGCCAAAATTGGTACTTCGAAGTTGTTGTGTCTTTTCAGTACCATTCAAAGTTATCAAAATTTTAAAGAGCGTGATATTCCCGTATCATTCCAATATTTTTGTTTAGTCGCCACATTAAACATTGCAGCTCTTGTTATAAGAATATTTTATGACAAAGGACCATTTGTTTGTTTTAGAAAAAAATTTAACCTTTTTCACTGGTTTTTATATCGATCCACGTTCTGATATTTTCTAACCAATCATAATGTAATATTAGGAATATCCACAGAAATTCGAAAAAGCAAGATATGTATATGGTATAGGAATCTAAGGAAACAGGCAATTCTCTGTCTCATAAATGTATAGGGAAGAAGTGAAGGAGTTTTGCACCGAATCTCCAATCATTTAGAATTGTAACGCGACGGGATGTCACCGCGACGAGCATCGCACTCTATTTGAGCATTAACCAACACTTGTAGTACTTTAATGTTATTGATAATCGAGCAAGATATAGCAGTTTTGAAAGTTTTCCTGTAGATTTCCTGTAGAATAATTACACGTAGTACATCGTAGTACACGTAGTAGAATAATTACAAATTGTGTTGTTCATTAATCTTTCTTGTTGAATTGCCTTCCAATTATGTTTTCTTGAAAATTCGAATAAGCGCCCGTTTCTGAAGGTTGAAGGATGAGCACAGTTTATATTAACATGTGATAAGTAACACCAATTCGTTCTTTAAGCCTTTGGCAAGTCATTTTTTCAGCATTTGAATAAACAGAAGCAAACCTAATTTAAAAAAACTTGATTCTAACGTCTAACTTATAAAATGTTTCTTATCTCCTTATATTTCCTTGTCAGTTACTTTTTGAGCGAATAAAGACACAGTAACATTCTCTTTCTACAAGCCTCCCTGTTTGTTTGCAGGTAGGACCATCTGGTGCGTTGTTTGGTGTCATAGCTTGCTTGTTTGTGGAGCTTTTCCAAAGCTGGCAACTTGTCGCCCACCCAGTGAAGGCCCTCATTAAAATGAGCTTAATTGCATCGATTCTGTTCCTGGCAGGTCTCCTGCCATATGTGGACAATTTCGCTCATATATTCGGGTTCATATACGGATTTCTATCGGCTTTCGCCTTTCTTCCCTACGTCACATTCGGCACATGGGATCTTCGACGAAAGAGAATCCAAGTTATCGTGTCTCTGGCTATTCTTATTGCTCTCACTGTAGTTGGCTGTATCTTATTCTACGCCAAGCAGGAGTTTAGCTGTCCAGGCTGCGAGTACTTAAATTGTATACCCCTCACGTCCAATTTCTGCGAAAACTCACATAAAGGACAGATGTTACAGCCACGATAAAATAGGACAAACAACGCTGGTTGTTTTTTGTAATTCCTCGAGAAGGTCGCGGGTAGACCACGAAGCATCGCCAAAGGCAACAACTTCATACCAGATGTACCAAACGATATCTTTATCTCTTGGTTTCGATAATAACTCTTTCATAACAGAGCAGTATCATTATTTCAATTATATACAAAAATGTATTTTCAGGACATTTTGATTTTATATGATAGTTTTTACCGTAATGCCTCGAATAAGCGCCCGGGCGCTTATTTAAAAAGTGGATTTGGGTGCAAATTGTGTTGTTCATTAATCTTTCTTGTTGAATTGCCTTCCAATTATGTTTTCTTGAAAATTCGAATAAGCGCCCGTTTCTGAAGTTTGAAGGATGGGCACTTGTTCGAGGGTTGGGCGCTTATTTTAGGGGGCGCTTATTCAATAACTTCACCTCTAGGGTAGGCGCTAATTCGAGGGGGCTCTTATTTCAGGGGGGCGCTTATTCAAGTCATTACGGTATGTTAAAAGAAGGACTAAGCAAAGGCCGTTGTTACTCTTTCACGTAATTTGAGCTGTTCATTTACGTGTAATTATTCTTCGTTCTCTACAAAACTAGAGTTTCTAATGTTTGTATGTGAGGTGCTTCTTTGGTTCAGTATTTCTGCACGGGAACCTGATCTAACTTTGGTTAATAAGCATACATAAAATTAGTCTATGGAAAATTTGTGTAAGTTATACCCAGCTGGTTTTTGAGGGTAAATACGAAGTATCTTTTGAAGCCAGAGATCGACTCTGTTTCAAACCAAAACGAAGTGAATACTAGTAGCAATGTTGAAGCCTCGGCGATCAGACATAACTATGGTGCATGACTTTTTTATTGACGACTGTCCAGAAGATTGACTATTTAAAATCTTAGAGTTTTTAGCAAGTTCCGATCTAAAAGCTTTTAAGGAAGCCAAAGTTAAAGTTTGATGACTTTCTTAAAGTTTTAGAAAATTCACATTTAAAAGCAGGTTAAGGCCTAATAGTTTTAATCAAAGTTTTAGAGCAAGCTAGAATATCTTTCACGATAGTGTATACATAGTTTTTCAGTACTTTCTGCTCACTACATAGTAAAAAGCAATTATTTTGTCTTTACTTAAACTCAATAGTGATCTACTCTAAGGTCTTTAATAGAAGGGGGGGGTCAGAAATTTTTCAAAAAATAAATAAGCGGGGGGTGCGGGTCCTACTCCTACTAAGTGCGGGGGTCGGAAATGTGAAAATCTGAAAAACCACCTGATGATTCTTTCTTGGGGTCAAATGAGATTTTCTTCTGAATACAATCGATAGCAAAATGACAATTATCACCATGTAATAATGCATTGTTGTATTACTAAAATGAGCAGGCTAATTATCATTGTGTACATCAGTCAGGCCTATATATAAATTTTTTTAGGATGTCACTTCTTTTCTATGTTAACCTTTGTACGATGCAACCTCTTCATTTAATATAAACTTTACAGAAATTTCACACCTGCACATCTACAGAAAGATCAAAGGATAAATGAAATAAGGGATATGAATGACTGCATATAAAAATTAATAAACGGGAGGGGGTCCAAATAAGCTCAGGGAGGGGGGTCAGAAAAAATTAATAAGCGTCCCCCCTTCTAGTAAGGACCTTAAGAGTATGTAGAGCTTGCATTTTTGCACCTGATTATTCTCATGATCATTTTACTCGTTCCCCACTCGGTAGACCCTACATATAGTACTACAATGTATTTTATCATAACATTGTAATCTATAATTCGATTTCTATCTGGGGGTATTTCATCTATACTTGGCTTCTAGGTATGTTAGCAATTACCTCGTCTATGTCAGCATTCTCCACCAGCAAAAAGGATACAACCCTTTTAGTCCTAACTAACATTGATCTGTTTCAAACCTTGTAGGGAACATGTCATCAACCTATCCCTTATTCATATGCTCGTCTAGTTTTCAAAGCAGCGAAATCAATTATTTTGATTGCATTTCCACTAGCTCAATACATTTATACATATGGGCGTGTCAAGTGTTTAGGGGGGCTAAGCATTGGTCTTTCACAAATATTATTGCTTCATTGAGATAACTCTCCTAATGGGCATTAAATCCAATAAATTTTGTCTGATTGGGGGGCCAGGGGATTCTCCTACACCTAAGTTTGTTGACCGATCTTTGCAGCAAATTTTTACATTATCCTAGCATTTTCTTTAACATGTTACACTTGTTCTGGTTATCTCTGCTTTATTAATGTCACAATTGCCTGATCATTGCTGTCCAAATTAGTCATTTTTCTTTTCCTTTCTTGATTTTGTGCATCCTTTATTGATAGAGTTTAGTATCTTTCTAAATAAATTCTGTCTGGCTTTTGTCAGGCCTTGCTCTAAGTAAAATGAAGGTGCTCCATAAAAAGAACCCTTTGAAACTCTAGGCGCTCTATTTCGCACCTTTAAATAAAATATCCTTGAGAGCATCTTTCAAGAGCTTTGGAAGATTGAGATCTTCAGATTGAAAGCTTTGGAAGAGTGTTAAATAAGAAATTCAATGCTGATACCAAAAAGCACCATAATATGAAATAACAAAACATGCAGCAAACACTATGTTAATACCAATAAAGAAATTTGAGAAAAAGCATGGCTTTAAGTCGAACATTTAACTTTGTTGCCTTTTCTATGCTATCCATTCTGTAAGAGACACTAGAACATCTACTACTCGCGAAAGCAAATGCAAACTGAAAAGCAATGCGGTAATTTGGACGGAAATGTGATCTCTGATTTGCAAAGGTGATTCTAAATTATTAAGAAAAAACAGAAAATAATACTTCAACAGAAGATTAACGCTTGCTCGAAAATCAAATAAATCTGCCGGAGAATACGCTTGATGGCCTGTCTACTTGATGGTTATTAGAGGGTTATTAGATTAAAAATGGTATCGAAAACCCAACGTTGAATTTGCTGAATTTTTTTCTCAAGGGCTAATCTTACGCAAATCATAATATTGCGGTCTATTGGGAAGATTGTTTATGCTTGATAAAGTTTATTAAACAAAGGCCAAAAAATTATTTCGCTCCGTGGTAATATTGTCTTTACGTTTTGAGGGGCTCTATAAATCGCTCTCCAAGGCTTTTTCTGGGTGCGCTCTAGGCGCGCGCGCTCGATCGAGCGCCTTTCCGGGCAAGGCCTGTTTTGTGTGTTTTTCTTCTAAGACACATAGTATTTTCTGGAACCATTGGTCCTGTGGTTTGATTGTTTTTTTGCCCCGGGTAGATGCATGATTTGAAACTGACTGCATACAAATATTGAATTCAGAACTTTCAATGCAGACCTTTAAGATTGTTAGCACATAAAATTTAAAAAGAAGAAGAAGGTACTAGACTTCAAGAAACACCAAAGCATTTAATTTCAATTGTTTTCCCATCTAACCACAATTTTACAGTAATTAACATTGCCAACTTTCAAAGATTAATCATATTCCCTTCTAGGGTCCACTTGAGACGGGTGCAGCCATGCGACCTCCTGGAACATGACTTTTCGCAAGATGGTCAGTAAACTCTTGGTAGGGAGATTTACCAAACTGAGTTTCTTTCCACATATCTGGTGTCAGATATGAGTATGTTCTTGATATTGCCATGTAAGTTGCTTTGGCTGTAGACAGAAAAACAATTTTGTGACAGAGCCAAAAAAGTTTGAATATAAACAGCATAATTTAGAGGCAATTATTACAGGAATAACAAAGCAGTGATGATCATAAAATTTTTTATACATTGCAGTAAACAGCAAGCTACTAATTGGGCTCAACAAGTGTTTTATACTTTCTTTTTAGTGTTTTATAGATTCTTTTTAGATGTATCTATGTAGGAGCAAATTGGTGACTGGAAGAATGACAAGATGAACAGAATACAAATGTTAATAACATGCAACAAAGGATCTGTTCTTTAGACAGGAAACATTCTTGGAATCTATTATTTTCACAACCCTGAAATACAAGCTAGTTTACACAAATACATACGAACATGCATGCATTTAAAACATTCAGCATATATACATATGAATATTTGTTTCATCCTTGATTGAAGTTAACGGTCACTGAGTCTAGCTCATACCAAACTTCACCCAAAGGAAGAAATTTATCTTTTCCCAGTGACAGCCACAACTATCATTGTAGAGAACAATTGTTTCCACTATAGAAGGGTGCTTTTAGGGAACCTGGTCATTATATTAGAGCAGGAAAAGCATTCTTACCAAAATTTCCAACAGTAGCTGTTGTTCCACAAGCAGATGTGTAGCAATCCTCAACACCTGCCATCTGAAGTAGCTTCTTTGGCACTCCAGCTGCAACAATGCCAGTACCACGGGGAGCTGGGATCAAACGTACTGTAACAGACCCACATTTACCTGTGACCTGAAATAAAAAATGCATGTCTTTATCCATTTTAAAAGATTTAAAGTCTTTGGTGTAAGTACATATCTTAAGTGCCATTGTCAGATTTTGTTCTGGTGTCATCAGTGCTTCATCTTTGTGAAGATCTATGAAGACCGTCGTGTTTTCATCATACAATGACAAGCAGTTAAGACCTTACTACCTTTTGTGCAATCATACAACAGAAATTGTGGCCTAAAATGTTATCTTCAAACTTCAAAGGTATCCTGAACAAAGTATGTTCAGATTATTAACTAAAAGTGTTGAACTTATTGAGAATCTACATAGCTGAGTCAGGGAAGAAAAGTAGAACAAATATAGTACATCTTAAGCTCCTCGCAGGGCTACATAAAACAAAGAAAATGGCTCATGTGAAACTCTCACTAAATTTCTTTACCTTGCAGGGTACAGTGTGGGGCTTTCCAATTTTGTTACCCCAATATCCTCGTCTGACTGGAATAATTGACAATTTGGCGGCAATTATGGCACCACGTATTGCTGTGGCAACTTCTTTGGAGCATTTTACACCAAGACCAACATGTCCATTATAGTCACCAATGGCAACAAATGCCTTGAAGCGTGTTCTCTGTCCAGCACGTGTTTGCTTCTGGACAGGCATGATTTTCAGAACCTCATCTTTCAAAGCTGCACCAAGGAAATTGTCAATGATTTCGAACTCCTTGATGGGCAATGAATAGAGGTAAATCTCCTCAAGGGACTTGATCTTACCATCTTTTACCAGTCTTCCGAGTTTTGTTACTGGCTGCCATTCTTTTTCCTCTTGCTTTCCCCTCCCTCGACCTCTACCACGGCCTCTCCCTCTGCCTCCTCGTCCACCTCTCCCAAAACCACCCCTAAACCCACCTCGTCCACCACCGGCTGATCCTGCTGCTGCGTCTGCCATTGCTAAAATAAAAAATGTTAACGATTTTAGTCAACTCTTAAATTTTTTGTACCAGAAATAATCTACACAACATCATCTCAAACGAACTACGCAGATCTTTTCATTCAGATTCTTGGGCCTAAAAAGACGCACATGAATGCGCACTTGCGGGTCGCAGTAAACTTCTCTGAAACTGTAGGGTAATGGGACTACATATGAACCTAATTTACAATAAACTTGGGAATTCTTTATTCAAACATCATTTGAGAAAGGCCAATCTACACGAGCTACTATTAGAAGACTTAGGCCCGTTAAACATGAAACAGCGGGAAGGTCTCTAAAATACTGAGAAACTACGATATACATGAAGTCTAATAAAATCATACAATCTATAGTTTCCTAGGCGCGAGAAGCAGTACAGTTATTTGAATTTGCACTCTTTCTGACAGTTAAATAAAAGGCATGATGTGTGTCAAGGTAATTCAACCACGATGAAGAATATCCTGAAAACATGTTAAAAAGAGGTAAGATGCATGTTATACAGAGATAAAAAGGGACCGTATAAACAGTTCTAAGATTAAATTCTAAATTAACCCACTTCGATTTCAGCTAAAAGATGATGTAAAGGGATTTTTAATCTTCACAAAATTTCCACTACTTACGTGATGTATCTTTTTCTCAGAGAACGATCGTCTTTGAAACGCATGAATTTGTCTTCAAGCCTACAAAGGATTGTGGGAATTTGGTGATGCAAATTTACGGACCAGCTCTACTGACTGGACTGAACTACATTGTGGTTTCGGTTTGGGACATTTATATGGACATGCATCCCAAACAGTTATTAAAGATTTTATTTCTGTGCAATCTTATAAAAAATTTCATTAGGTTGTCTTGCTATGATTGTTGATCTTTCTCTAAAACAATGTGAAACTATCAGATGATGGTAAAATTTAGTTTTTTTAGCTTCAGTGGAGCTCAAAAATTAGTCAGTGAGCAAATAAAAAACATAGGTTTTTATTTAACAGCACAGAGATAAAGAAAGTTTTTTTTGCCCACCAGGCCACTCTTGTTAGGTAAGTTGTAAAAAATAAGTTTACCTGGCAAGTTTTTTCCTCCAAATAGAAATGCGACTGAAGATGAGAGATTAGAAAATATTCGTAATTATTGGCCTAATGTTGCTTAGTAGCATCACAAGCCATTTTTGAGTCGTTGAAAAAATATAATCTGCAAAGATTTCATTAAGCCGACGCAAAATTCTCTTTTGACTAAAGCCAGGTAAACAAAAAACGCACATGTCTAGATTCCCAAATAAATGATAAAGAATATTTTGGTGGTACAAAACTTGAAAATGGCTTTGAAAAAATCAAACATTCAGTAAACTAAAGCTTTTCATCTGACACTCTTCAGAGTTTAAAATGTCAGAACATAGATCGAAAACTCTACGCTAGGAAATATATAATGGGAATTAATCGTTTAATTCGAGTTAATACCCGCGGGGAAAGTGCGCAGATTCCCCTTTCCTAGAATCGGGTGGTCCCACACGTATATCCTTAGTAGGCTGTGGATATCATGTTACCTTAGCTATTTGCTAATCACCTTGTGGTATTATCTAGGTGGCCTTTTCCTGGCATATTTGTTTAAGTACAGTGATGCAGCTAGGGTCATGTCATATTTTGCAGCAAGACTCACGCGTTGTTTGTACGCGTTTTCTCTGTAGAGAAGTGAACTATTCTGCGAAAGTGTAACTTATTTAAAACCCGCTAATAAAGGACATAGTCCTACCGTCAAATGGCCGGACGCTGATTATGGTCATGATTTCGACCGTTGCTTACTGTTGTCATAGCATGGCTGGAAAGTTGCAGGTACTGGTTGCTAGGCCTCGGCAGAGTTATCGAAAGTTATGGCAGTTCAGGTCAAGCGCTCAGTGGCTGCTGTCTACTGCTATTACAGTTTCAGTTACCCTGCATCTCGATTCTATCACGTGCTCCAGAGAAAAGGTTGTACAAGCATTTTTTTTTCTACATTGGCTGTAGCATGGTTTGTAGGTTATTTGTTTTAATTTTCGATCCACTATTTCCTGCCGCTTTTCATCATACCAACCCTGGAGCTTCATATCTCCACCATAAAAATTACAAAATAAGGGGGCAGTATTCAAAGACCACAGTGCTGCCTCTCGGTAGAGCCACATGCCAGGCCGCTCAATCAAACGCATCCACCACGAATACCTGCTTGTTGTTATTTGTTCTTATTCTTTCAACTAATTTACCCTGTCATGTTCTTGTCCAAGGCAAGGATGCCTGTACTCAGAGATGGCAACGGGGGCAAAGCGTAGAGAAAAAAGGGCAAAACAATAGCCCGTACAATAGTCAAACGAAGAAAAATGCTCAATTTCGCGAGGTCAGGGGCAACTGCCCTAGCTGCTCCCCTGGCGCAGGCGTCCTTGGTTCCATTCATCTGGGATTCAACAAACGCTGTCTCTAAAATCCCCTCAATAGCGAATAGTATCTTTGTGGTGTCATTGTTGGCGTAAGGGGTGTGTGGCAAACTGCCCCGTTATTTAATACTTACGTGGAGGAAATTAACACTAGCATTAAATTGTACAGTCATGCCAGCAAAGGTTTCTGGACACGTCACATGGTCTATATAGGATCAGTTGTTTTAGCCTTTTAAAAGTATCAAGATCCAATTAAGTGACACTCATCGGCATTGCACACAATTCAGCAGGTCCTTGCTTTGGCTGCATCCAGTGGCGTAGCTAGCGGTCATGCTTGTCATGCCGGGCATGACCATCTATTTTCAGAGTTAACATTTTTCAAAAAGTTATATTTTCGTAAGAATAAAGTCCTATTCTCCTGATGAAATAGCTCAGGCCATTCGCCTTTGGAGCCCTATGGTTCCACCCAAGAATATGGAGCCCTCCGAAGGCGCTCTTCTATTGTCGGGCATGACTAAAACAGAGGGTTTCCAATTTAGTCATGCCCATAACTATGAGCATGACCAAACCCTGTGTTTTAGTCATGCCCATAACGCTGGTTCCCTATGTTTGGTCATGCCTAACAATAGGAGTGACGCAGGAGAGAACAAAGGCTAGTCATGCCATTTCGAGAGGGCATGACCATCATTATAATCATCAGAACCGTCCTGTGTTATTTCGTGAACACGAATGCGAGGCATCGATGGCGGCGCTGCTATGCCTAGATCCACGAGCTGGGAGGTAATTCTCTGTAAGTAAAATGCAAGCAAAAGCTTATTGCCAAGCAGCCACGACTCATGTTAATCTCCAGAACATTTTATGGCAACGACAGGGTTTTTCAGCCTTAATGGTGTTGCACTATGTCACAGAATAGAAATGACCAGAAGGGTCACTCTTTGCCAATCGATTCAGCGTGAGTTTTTTCGCGCATGCGTCACCAAAACGAGGATAGTATGTCAAACAATAAGCACGTACAATTCAACGATCTGAACCAGAATTAAACTAGTATCTTGCCCTGTATATATTGCTTTATAACCGGAAAATACTGCTATCAATGGTGGTCTCGCATCTCACAACTGTAGTAGGCCTGTAGTATTGATTATTAGCTAACAGGGAATTTAAATATCGTTTCCAAACTCACGATTCATAACGAACTAAGCGCCTCTGTGATTTTATTCACTCTCCTTTTGCTTCATGATGGTATGAAGTGCAGCCCCAGTGGTATTCAAGGGAGCTTGTTTTTAAATTTGCTTCAACACGCCTTCGATTGTGCAACATCCTAGACTACTAGCCTCCTTTCATGACGGTTGAAAACGAGAACTGTATGTACAGACAGCGCGGCGCCAGAAAAAATCGAGTGAACTTGCAACAAAGGATGCCGACACGAGTGACCCTTCTGGTCATTTCTATTCTGTGACTATGTGGAGAAGTGACAGGCACGAAAGGCCATTTTTGGACATAAAATCAGCGAGCAGGATCATTATATGCAACCAAAGCAAACTCTCAGTCTTTTCAGTAATCAATTGTTACTAGTTGAACATTTGCAGAGAATCTTCTTGATTTAATGAATGCCAAATCTTGATTCTGTTCACTGGAGATGGATGGAGGAGATAGCAGTGTTATTTTCCAAACCAACAGATTTGAGAGCTTAAACTTTCCAGACATTTAGCAGCATATTCAGAAACTGTTAAGCCCTTCAAAAGCATTGTTACCATATTATGATTAGGACAATAAGATTGTAGTTAATGGACAGGGAATGCCAGAACTTGCTTTAAGTTATTCTTTAATTTTTTGTTTATTATCACATGCAATAACACTGTTTTTACACACAATTAAAGTCAAACTCAAAGCTCTACTGACTTCACTTTTAGTTGAAAATACTTTTTACTACTTATAGCTGTTGAAATAAAATGACCAGAGACAAGTCAAGCATGTTACTGATCTTGTTAGTTTCACAGTTTTATTTCACTATTACAACTTTTGATGTATTTGAAAATTTACAAGATCAAATTATTCATTTACAACCCTTGTTTGCTAGATTTAGTAAGGACAATCCAATCATGTGGATATTTACCACAAGTATATGTGGAAACATCAATGTTTTTGTTAAGCTAAACTTATTTTGCAAAGTATTTTTCTATTAAGTCTAACTTTGCAGAAAACATTTTGCAACTAGGCCTATCCATTATTTTAGCTTCCTATATTTCATATCAATATTTACATTGGATATTCATTTGCCAATTTGTTTTATCTATCAATTCTATTGGGGTTGTTAGTTAATCGTGATGGCTTTGAAATACCTTCAACAGATTGATAATAAGACTATTTGTGGAAAAGATGACCAAAAAGCTCCCATTCAGTTTCATGTGATTTTTTTGTTTCATATAAAAATTTTAGCTTATCTCTAAAATTTACAAATGTATTCCAGCCTGCAAATTGAAAGAAATTAGGAGAACAAAACAATTTTTAATTTAAGCTAAGTTTATCTACTATACTAAACTAATGTTTTTTTAATGTCTTTTGTATAGTTCTGTTTGGAAATTGTCAGAACTCTGTATGTATAAATTACCAACAAACCAAAACAGTGTCACAGCTATAAGATAAAGGTCATTTCATGGTGTAACAAGATGATTGCTATGAAATAAGAAAAGCTCATTCCAAAAGTTAATCACAATTTTTTTTATAAGTCATAAGCCTTAAAATTAAAATTTCCAAAAGGAATTCATCAACTAAAAAATTGGGCGAGGTAAAATTTGGCCACACCCATATTTTTTCAAATTTGAGGGGAGGGCATGACCACTGCTATTTGGCTAGCTACGCCACTGGCTGCATCACACTGCCGCCCTCCGTTCAAAGCAGTCATGCTGTGGTTTAACAAACCTGCCAGTATGGTCATAGTAAACGTTTAGCGAGCCCAATATTGCTCCCAGTGTCCTAACCTTCATACTTTAGTTTCGCAAACACACCAGTAAAGTTCGAATATCAGTTTGATCTTGTTTCAACAAAAATCAATAATCAAATGAATCAAAAAATTGACTAAAGATTGTTTTCATGGTTTTGGTAATATCACATTGCTTGCTTGGCTGTGGTTTAGTGGGCCCTCACGGTAGTGTTCACCTCAGTCTGGCACCAAAACTTCGCTTGAGCTACATAATAACATTTTAAACACTGTGGTCTCGGCAATGCCCCTTGGAACATCTTGATTGCCAGTTTACTGTTTTTAGATAACTCCAATTGGTCTATTCCTTTGATTACTCTTCCTAACAAAATGGAAATATTGCCTACAGCAAGATGATACCAAAAAGCAGGGCCGTCTTGAGCCGGCTTGTGCCCAGTGGTTATTGACAAAACAAGACCCCGTTCAGAAAATTGCTGCGGCCATGCCCTTCGTCTTCGGTTTCATTGAACGTCCTTTTTGGTTACAATAATTAAAAAGATTTTTAAGGATTTTTGCAAGAGTGTGCAGGAACACTTAGAGTGAATCTGAGGCACGTGGACATTTATCTGCACTTTGCTTTTTAATCCGTATGCTTTCCGTATGCTGAAATATAGTAGCTTTTGTTGCATTTTGAAGATATCTTATTACATTATTATAAGTGCCACTAGTCACCATGGCAACAAACTTCCAACTAACTACACGCTATATTTTCAACAAACAACAAAAAAAAAACAAAAACAAAAAAACAAAACTTATTGTAATACAGGTATTTTGATGTAATTTGTATAACAGCAGAGCTAAACAATTTAGAAAAAATGGGCTGGCAAATTTGCTCTCTGTTTTCATCAATCATGGTCGGCAAATGCATCAAATGTTTGTTGTTATTGCCAATTTATGAATGCATTGTGTGCCCCCTTTTGTTCTGGTGCAAATTGATTGGTTCGAGCAATCTGTATTTTGCTACTTTAGGCAAGCCTTTTTGTTGAGAGCGAACTTCTTGGTTCAATGTAAAACGTGCTATATTGTTAATACTTAACTTGCCCAATATATATATATATATATATATATATATATAGAATTGGTTTGCTGTAATTATGCAAATCTCTTTTACATTTTACAATGAATTTACTAACATTAGGCACACTCTGCTTGGTAAATGTAGAATAGTTTACTGTGGCTTTGCAACAAATCTGCAGAATCTAAAACATATAAGCTGAATCTGCAGAACCAATGTTTGCAATATAAATCGGTAAATACCTAGATAGCATACTGTGGTGATGTTTCTAGCTAAATGCAAACATGTCAAATGTTCTGTCATGCAAACTGCAATGGTAAATATAGTGGCAGTTTGCTGTGTTTATGCAAACTCAAATGGCAAATGCAAAATCTTCCTTGCCATGGTTTACAAATTCACATGAAATATGGAGATAGTGTGCTGCGTTTATGGAAATTCACATAGTATATACAAATTGTTTTCTTGCTATGGTTTATATATTCAAATAAAATATGGAGATAGTTTCCCAGGGCTATACATACGCATACATACATAAAAAAGTGGCTGCTGTTGTCGCCATAACACATCTAGTTATGCCTTTACTCTTGGTGGCAAACATGCAAGGTGAACAAAAAACAAACAAACCAAATGTTTACTGTTGTTGGCAAGCATGCAAAACAAAACATAAAGTTTGCTGTTGTTTGGCAAACATGCAAATATATATATAAAAGAATAGAAAAACCATTAAGCGTTTTCAGTTGTGGGGAAGCATGTAAATAAAAGAAAACATTTGCTGTTGTTGGCAGAATGAAAATTTATAGGTACAAACAGACAAACAAATATTAAGTGTTTGCCACAAAACGTTTCCTGTCATTGGCAAGCATGAAAAATAAAACAGAACGTTTGCTGTCGTTGGCAAACAGGCAAAGAAAAGTGTTGTGCTGTTGTTGGCAAACTTGCGGAAGAAAAGGGTTTGCTGTTGTTGGCAAACATGCAAATATATATACATAAATAGAAAAAAAAAATAATAATAAAAATAAAAAACCAATAAGCGTTTTCAGCTGTTGGGAAGCATGTAAGTGAAACAAAACATTTTCCGTTGTTGGCAGAATGTATTTATAAGTACAAACAAACAAACAAAAATATTAGGCGTTTGCAGTTGTTGGCATAATTCCAAATAAAAAACAAAACATTTGCTGTCGTTGGCAAGCATGAAAAATAAAAAGCGTTTGCTGTTGTTGGCAAACATGAAAAATAAAAAGCGTTTACTGTTGTTGGCAAACATGCAGTAGAAAAGCGTTTGCTGTTGTTGGCAAACACGCACACTCAAAAAAAAAGCGTTTGCTATTGTTGACAAACATGCAGAAGAAAAGGGTTTGCTGTTGTTGGCAAACATGCAAAGAAAAGTGTTTGCTGTTGTTGGCAAACAAATGGCAGAAAAGCGTTTGCTGTTGTTGGCAAACCTTAAAAAAAATTGTTGCTGTTGTTGGCAAACATACAACAAAAAGCGTTTGCTGTCGTGGGCAAACATACAAAAAAAGCGTTTGCTGTTGTTGGCAAACATACAACAAAAAGCGTTTGCTGTCGTGGGCAAACATAAAAAAAAAAGAAAAAAAAACGTTTGCTGTTGTTGGCAAACAAACAACGAAAAGCGTTTGCTGTCGTGGGCAAACATACAAAAAAAAGCGTTTGCTGTTGTTGGCAAATATACAACGAAGAGTGTTTGCTGTCGTGGGCAAACATAAAAAAAATGCGTTTGCTGTTGTTGGCAAACATAAGAAAAGAAAAAAAAAACTTCTTTTCTCTTGCTTTCTCTCCCCGCTTCTCTTCATCAATAACTTCCTCCCTTAGTAAGGTTAGGGCAAGAGTCTCCTCCAGTTACAGGCTTTCTAAGTCAGTGTTTGATGGGTGTAAACATTGTCATGTTTTTTGTGGCGGGTTAAAAAAACTGAGGCAGTTTTTACCCTGGAATCAAACACCGACCATAAAATTGCGTCATTGCTCAGGCAAGACAAGGGCTGATGCACCAAAAGCCCAAAATGTTTTTCCTGAGATTAGGGTGTTGTTTATCATAACTAAGGGGCCCCCGCGATGGAATTAAATGGGAATTAATCGTTTAATTCGAGTTAATACCCGCGGGGAAAGTGCGCAGATTCCCCTTTTCTAGAATCGGGTGGTCCCACACGTATATCCTTAGTATGCTGTGGATATCATGTTACCTTAGCTATTTGCTAATCACCTTGTGGTATTATCTAGGTGGTCTTTTCCTGGCATATTTGTTTAAGTACAGTGATGCAGCTAGGGTCATGTCATATTTTGCAGCAAGACTCACGCGTTGTTTGTACGCGTTTTCCCCTCCCATCCCTGTCCCCTTGTACTCACTTCTCCTCCTGCTTATATCCCGTTATATGCTTCCTTCTGCCTTCTCCTGTCTCACTTCTTCTCACACAGTCATTCGATTGTGTGACAGGTGTATCAGTCTGATTATCGGGGTTAAAAACTGAGGCAGTTTTTACCCTGGAATCAAACACCGACCATAAAATTGCGTCATTGCTCAGGCAAGACAAGGGCTGATGCACCGAAAGCCCAAAATGTTTTTCCTGAGATTAGGGTGTTGTTTATCATAACTAAGGGGCCCCCGCGATGGAATTAATACCCAGTTGTGGATCGAAATAGGCCAATCAGAGACACGATCACATGACTGTTGAGGTTGACAAATCAGTGCCGCTTGCCTATTGAGAATGTTACCAATTAAGA